TGAGAAATCTTTCCTTGTCTTTGTTGATGGAATGGCCGAACATGTGAAGGGAGAAGAGATGGTTGTTCTTTGTGACCTTTGCATGTATTACACTTGGCATTGGTTTGGTCTTGGTGAGAGATTTTGAGTGAGAGAAAAGCAATCCTTGCTTGCCTTAGTTGATGGCTGTGACATAGGGGGAAAGAGGGAAGATATTTTCCTAATTTTTTATTCAAGTCTATTCATGATGAAAGCTCATAACTCAAGGAGGGTTGAGTGTGAATTTGAACTAGGGTTTCCTTGCTTCCTTTGTTGTTTGGCCGAGGTTGAGAGGAAGAGAAGAGTTTGGTCATGTGACTCCTTGGTGACCGTGTGTGCCTAGGGAGAAGGGAGACTTGATCTTGTAAGGTGTCATGCATGGCTTGAGTGTGTAAGAAGAAAGCTTCCTTTTCTTGTCATGTGTGCGTCCTCCAAGGTAGCTTAAGGGAAAGTAGTGTTGCTTTTGGTTAAAGTAAGTCACATGCATTGGTTAGGTTTGGAGTGTTTCTTACACAAACTCCTTCATCACTTTTCCTTCCTTATTTAGCGCCTAGGGGAATGTGAACACAACTTCCTTTCCTTCTCTCCTTGTCATGGCCTAAGTTATCATGTGGGGAGGTGTAACTTCATACAAATTCTTCCTATCATGTGTTGCCACCTCATCTAGGGCTTATCTTTGAATTGGATTGGGCTTGTTGGTGTTTTCGGCCCAATAGTGTTGATGGAGAGGTTTGATCATTAGTAAATGGGCTTAGGCTTTGTTTGAGTGGTGTGGGCTTGGGTCTTTATGTACTTACTAATTGGGCCATTCCTTATTCAATTCATAAAATGGGCTTGCATTGCTTTGGGCTTATATCCTTTCTCACTTGATCTTAACTTATTTATATTCTTAAGCGGGTTGGGCTATGACATTGTTTGGGCTTTAAACCACATTGGGTTAAGTTACTACTTATCTTAATTAGAGTGGGTTCTAACTTAGGACTAATTTTTGCTTTTCAAAGCTAATCGTTCACTGAATATGGGCTTGACCCTCTTTGATTCCATTTCATTAAACTAATTTTGATTACATGATTTTTGGGTTATTACAGGTATGATCTAGCTTATCTCCAACAAGGCAACTGAAATCAGTTGCCTATCCACAGCATATCCTATGTAAAGTTTCAATCTCTGACCATTTACAGTAAAACTCTGGTCAAAATCCCAAGCACAAATCTCCACCGCTCCATAAGGCTTCATGCTCTTAACTACAAATGGTCCAGACCATCTGGACTTCAGCTTCCCTGGAAACAATTTCAACCCGGAGTTGAATAACAGCACCTGATCTCCCACCTTAAAATCCCTGGGTGTGATCTTCCTGTCATGCCATAGCTTGGTCTTCTCCTTGTATAGGCTGGCACTCTCATAAACAGACAGACGGAATTCATCCAGTTCATCCAATTGCAGTAGTCTCTTTTCTCACCTGCTGCCTTGGAGTCAAAGTTTAAGAACTTGACAGCCCATAATGCTCTATGCTCCAATCCAACAGGCAAATGACATGTTTTCTCAAACAACAACTGAAATGGAGACATTCCAATAGGAGTCTTGAATGCTGTCCTATATGCCCACAAGGTGTCATCATGTTTCTTGGACCATTGAGTCCTAGCATTCCCAACAGTTTTCTCCAATATTCTTTTAAGTTCCCTGTTGGAAATCTCAACCTGACCACAAGTCTGAGGGTGGTACAGAGTACTTATTTTGTGCCTCACTCCATACTTGGCAAGAACAGCTTCAACAAACCTGTTATCAAAATGGGTTCCCCCATCACTTATTATGGCTCTTGGAACTCCAAATCTCACAAATATGTTCTTCTTTAGGAATGCTATCACAACCCGAGCATCATTTGTTTGTGTGGCTATGGCTTCAACCCACTTCGACACATAATCAATTGCCACCAGGATATACTTGTTAGAGTAGGAAGAGGGAAAAGGTCCCATGAAATCCATACCCCAGACATCAAAGAACTCCAGCTCCAGTATATTATTCAAAGGCATCTCTCATGTCTCCTGGAGATGTTCCCAGTTCTCTGGCAGTTGTCAGATGCTTCCACATACTTTCTGGCATCCTTGTACAATGTGGGCCAGTAAAAGCCACTCATCAAAACCTTGGCTGCTGTTCTCTCACCTGCAAAGTAGCCACCATAGGCTGAACCATGACAGTGCCATAAGACACTCTTTTGCTCCTCTTTTGGAACGCATCTTCTGATTACTCCATTGGAACATCTATAGAAGAGGTATGGTTCATCCCAGATGTATCTCCTCACATCATGCAAAAATTTCTTCCGCTGCTGGTAAGTGAAATCCTTTGGCATGGCTCCAGCAGCTCTGTAGTTAGCAAAATCAGCAAACCATGGTGGGGTGTCAACAGACAAGACTTGATTATGCACCAACTGGGAAACAATGCTTATGGCCAGTATTTGCTCATCAAGGAACTCTTCCTTGATCACCACCTCTGTACCCTCTTGTAAATGTGTCTCTGTGATCCTGGATAAGTGATCAGCCACCAAGTTCTCCACTCCATTTTTGTCTTTGATCTCTACTTCAAACTCTTGCAGAAGTAACATTCATCGGGGTAACCTGGGCTTAGTATCCTGCTTTGTTAACAAATACTTCAAAGCTGCATGGTCAGTGTAAACAATAACCTTGGACCCTAGCAGATATGACCTGAATTTGTCAAATGCATACACTATTGCCAATAACTCTTTCTCTGTAGTAGCATAATTCTTTTGTGCCTCATTAAGAATTTTACTGGCATAGTAAATGACATGCAATAGTTTATCCTTCCTTTGGCCTAAGACTACCCCCATAGCATAATCACTGGCATCACACATAAGTTCAAATGGTAATGAAAAATCAGGTGCCATGATTATAGGTGCAGTGATCAACTTGTCTTTCAACACATTAAATGCATGCAAGCAGTCATCAGTAAACAGAAATTCTTGATCTTTTCCTAACAGCTTGCACAATGGTTTTGCAATTTTTGAAAAATCTTTAATAAAACGACGGTAAAAACCAGCATGTCCTAGAAAACTCCTCACACCTTTAACATTTATGGGAGTGGGTAGTTTCTCAATAACAGAGATCTTGGCCTTATCTACTTCAATCCCTCTGTTGGACACTTTGTGTCCCAAAACAATACCCTATGTCACCATGAAGTGACATTTCTCCCAATTTAGCACAAGATTGCAATCTTGGCATCTTTTCAAAACATTGTCCAAGTTTTCTAAACATGCATCAAAAGTAGGACCAAACACAGAAAAATCATCCATGAAAATCTCAATGCACCTTTCTACCATGTCAGAGAATATGGAAAGCATGCACCTTTGAAAAGTTGCTGGTGCATTGCATAGGCCAAAAGGCATCCTCCGGTATGCAAAGATTCCATAGGGGCAAGTGAATGCAGTCTTCTCCTGATCTTCCGGAGCCACAACTATCTGGTTGTAGCCCGAGTATCCATCCAGAAAACAGTAGAAAGCATGTCCTGCCAATCTTTCCAGCATCTGGTCCAGGAATGGAATAGGGAAATGGTCCTTCTGGTGGTTGCTTTATTGAGTCTCCTGTAGTCAACACACATCCTCCAGCCAGTGACTGTTCTTGTAGGGATCAGTTCATTATTCTCATTCCTAACCACAGTCATCCCTCCTTTCTTAGGCACTGTCTGAACTGGACTCACCCATGCACTATCTGAAATAGGATAAATCATCCCAGCATCAAGCAACTTCACCACCTCTTTCCTTACTACCTCCTTCAGAGTGGGATTAAGTCTTCTTTGTGGTTGCCTTACTGGTTTGACTTCTTCCTCCATCAATATCTTGTGAGTGCAGAAGGAAGGGTTGATACCCTTAAGATCTGAAAATGACCAGCCCATGGCTGTCTTGTTCTTCTTGAGTACCTCAACCAACTTCACTTCCTCCCCTTCAGACAAGAATGCATTTATAATGGCTGGGTATGTTTGATCATCCCCAAGGAACACATACTTCAGATTAGAAGGTAGTTCTTTCAGTTCCACCTTAGGTGCTCCCTTAGGAATGTCATCCACCTTCTTTTCAAGCTCTTCAACTACTGGTTCCTCCTGATAAAATTCCCCACTCATCTCATCCTTACTTTTGTCTTCCTCTAACAACAGGTCCTCTTCTCCTTTCACTTCCTCCACAACCTCCTGTATGATATCTATCCTGAAACAATCCTCCACATCAACAGGATGTTTAATGGCTTCAAACACATCAATTGTAACTGTCTCTTCATTCACCCTTAGCATTAGCTTCCCTTGTTCAACATCAATCAGGGATCTAGCAGTTGCTAAGAATGGCCTCCCTAGAAGTAGAGGGCTTTCAGTATCTTCTTCCTCCATATCTAGAATCACAAAGTCCACTGGAAAAATGAACTTATCCACCTTAACCAGAACATCTTCAACCACACCTTCCGGTCTCTTGATGGATCTGTCTGCAAGATGCAGAATAAGATTGGTATCCTTCAAGGTGTTGATTCCCAAAGCTCTACATACAGTCAATGGCATCAAGTTAATGCTGGCCCCCAAATCACAGAGTGCCTTCCCTACTTCCACATCTCCAATGGCAATAGGGATGCTGAAACTTCCTGGATCTTTTAATTTTGGTGGAAGCTTCTTCTGGATCAGGGCACTACACTCTTCTGTTAAGGCCACTGTCTCACCATCCTTCAATTTCCTCTTCTTAGACAGAAGATCTTTCATGAATTTGGCATAGTGAGGCATATTCTCCAAGGCCTCAGCAAATGGAATGTTAATCTGTAACTTCTTGAAAATATCCAGAAACCTTGCATAGTGCTGCTTCTGGATTTCCTGCTTCAACCGTTGAGGGTAAGGCACTTTAGCATATGGAGATAGGTTGATTGGCTGGTCCTGCTTGTCAGCCATCTTCTTCTTCTCCCACTTCATCAACTTCTGGGGTGAAGAACTCTTGTCAACCACTACCTCTTCTTCTTTCTTCTTTTCCTCAACTTTTTTTTCTTATCATTTTCAACCACAACATCCTCAACAACAACTTCCTCCTTACTTTTCTTTTCTCCCACTTTCTTCTCATCCACTTTCTTGTCCACCGGTTGTAGCACAAGCCCACTTCTTGTAATAATGGACTTGCAGTGCTTCTTTGGATTCACCATAGTATCACCAGGGAACTTTCCCTGTGGCCTCTCAGCTATCTGTCTAGACAACTGACCAATCTGTGTTTCCAAATTCAGTATTAATTCTTCCTGGTTTCTGAATGCAGTCTTGGTCTCTTGCATGAAAGCAGAAGTTTCTTCCCTGAAAGAATTTGACCCCTGAATGTAATCTTGAGTAGTCTTTGATAACTGGGCAAAAGCTTTCTCCCATGCAGAAGCATCACCTTGCTGTGATGAATGTGGTGGTGGAGGATGTAGTGGAGGATTCAACTGATGGTTGGAACTGTAACTGAACCCTGGGTGTTGATTCTTGTTCTTCCATGGTGGCACATAGACATTTCGCCCCTGGTTGTTAAGGTTCCTCTGGTTGTTGTGGTCATAACATACTCCATTTACTTCTGCTTGTTCAGCATACCCTCCATAGTCACAATCATCAGTAACATGGCTTTTCCCACAAATGGCACACACAGAATTAGTGTCCACAGAAGCAACCTTCTGAGAAGAAAGCTGCTTGGTGAGAGTATCTAGTTGTTGTTGTTGTTTTTCTGAACTTGCTGCAACTGGTCATTCCTGGCTAATAAAGCATCATAGCCATCAAGTTTAATAATTCCTGTCCTTCTGTCACTCACCGGAGCATTGTCAAACTCCTGAGATGCTAGAGACTCAAAGATGTCAAGGGCTTCCTGAGGGGTCTTGGTTGTCAATGAACCACCTGCTGTGGCATTCACCAATGTCCTGGTGTTGGTTGTCAACCCTTGGAGGAATATTGCTGCTTGATTCCACACTTCTATTCCATGTTGTGGACATTTCCTCAAGAGTGTCTTGAACCTCTCCCAGGCCTCATAGATAGACTCTGACTCCTTTTGCTTGAATCCTGTGATCTCATCCTTCAACTTTGCCCTCTTGGATGCTGAAAAGAATCTGGCCAAGAACTTGGTTTGCAGATCATCCCAAGTTGTAATGCTCCCTTGTGGTAATGACTGTAGCCATCTCCTGGCATCATCCTTCAGTGAATGAGTAAAGAGCCTCAACAGAATGGCATCTCTGGTCACTCCATTGATTTTCACAGTGTCACTCAACAGCAAAAAATTCTCAATATGCAGGTATGGATCCTCTACACTTGTTCCAGCAAACTGTTCTTTCTGCACCAATTGTACTAATGCAGGCTTCAATTCAAAATTATTGGGCCTTACTGTAGGTCGAACCACACTTCCAATGGGTGGAATGACAGCAGGAGCCATGTAATCTCCTAGTGTCCTATGTGGTGGTTGCACATGATTTTCTGCCGTGATCTCTTCTTCTTGTACTGTAGTACTTGGTTCACCACTTGGTTCACCCCTTTCTTGTAACTTCCTTCTCCTGGCTTCCCTCTTGTTTCTTCTGATTGTCCTTTCTAATTCTGGATCAAACAACAGAGAGTTTTGATCAATAGTACCTCGCATACACCAGAATTAAAATGGAACAAAAATCCATACAATAAATATAAAATGCTGAAAATAAAAGATTCAATCTCAACAACTAATGGTATATGTCAATGTTGAAAAACAAATCCCCGGCAACGACGCCAAAAACTTGTTGTTGATTTAGCAAGTGTACTAGTCAAAC